TTTTTTTGGTCTGGTCCGGAATTAGCAAAAACAAAACGCATTATAGACTTCCACATTACTAATTCGGACCGCACATTACAGCAGTCGTCAACAACCAATCCAGAATCAGAAAACGCAGAAAAACGTTCACTCCCACAGCCCCCCGGACTCCATGCAAAGGAGGTTGCTTTTTGTGCGTGTGTGGCTGCCCTTCTTGGCGTCTCGGCTTCCTGTCTTCTGGACGTGGCTTCTCGGCTTCCCGGCTGCTTGGCTCTCGTTCTGTACTTCTCGTCTGGCTTCTTTTTGGTTTGGTTTCTACTCCGGGCTTCTTGGCTTCCTGGCTTCGTGTCTGCGTCCCTTCTGCGCACTCCATGCCACATTGATCGTTACTACTAGTAACTACTAGTATTATCGTATCACACCATTGATACAATTGGGACTATGGTTGCTGCTAGCACCATTGTTGCACTAGTACTCGTGTCATTCTTCTCATGATATTCCTGTTATTGCTGGTACTTTGGCTACTGCACTGCTATTGCTACCACTACTGCTAGTACTACTTCTGCTGACGCAAGAAACAGCACGGTACGAAACAAAACCCCCCTTCTGTCAATAAACAATGCCGCAGCGATCCTGCATGGGCCCTAAACTGTACGAGTCAAACACGCCTGATTGGCGGATACGCGATATGCGAACCTGTTTTCGGAGCAGTGAAATATTTTGTACTGCTCGGAACGTTCACCACGAAAGTCACTTCCCAGCTATCCCCTTCCAGGTCCTCTGGTAAAGAAGACCGTACCCCACGAACACAAGACAAGGTCAATTCCTGGAAGTTTGATCCGGAAGATCTCGGAGATGCTCAGTGGATGGATGCGGACCGGCAATATGCCTCTCGGACGCGGGGCAGAGTGTCGGCGGCTTCATTTCCAAGGTGTGTTGGTGTGCAGAGCTGCATCTCTGGCGATGTGTTCGGAGGCTACCAAAGTGTTGGTTTACATCCGGGAAACAGACACGGTTGCGCTTGCATGGAAAATTGACCGAGGTCGTTCAGTACATCATCCAGAGCGAAGCCGGCTTCTACATGAAAGGAGTTCGGCTGACAGCCGGATCTGTTCAAAAGATGAGCCACCGAGCTGCAAGCCTGGCAACACGGCATCGTACGCATGTCGCAGCATGCAAACGAAACAGCCCCGTGCCATCTATGCAAGAAGTGTGACTGTTGCAGCATCTTGCTCAGCGACTTCCCTCAGGGTCTGTTGTCCAAGCTGAATTGCACGCAAGTCGTTCGAGATTTTCTGCGCGACAGTTGAAGCACGAAGCTATGTAATGATACGTGTGTGCCCATGAAGCCACCCACTGCAATGTGCTTCTCAGACCAAGTCAGTGAAAGGCTAAGCCCCATGGTTGTGCAGACCAGCGCAGAAAGTTTGAGTTTAAGGCCTTTGAGAGCACTATTGACCCGGGTAATATGGTTTCTCGCTCTTCCGACTGAAATGCGAAGAAGGAATCCTGCAAAAACTAGAGTGTTGCTGAACAGGATGCAGAAACAGAGTTGCATCCACGGCTGCTACTGCGATAGCCTGGGCATACAACACGGAGGGGTCCAGAGAGCATGCATGTTGAGTGCCACACCAATTCACAGATGCGGTTCAGCTTGTCGTGTTAGCATTGGTTGCTTCGGAAGCGGAAGAAGTGCGAGCTTTACTTTAATTCAGGCTACTACATGGCCGCGTTCACCTTCAGTCTCTTTGCGAGATTTTTTGCCGACAGTTGACCGTGGGCTGTCGGCAGTTCACTGGGAACCTGTATGCGCGGTAGCAGAATTCTTTAAAGGAGGCCTTGACACCGTGGAGACAGCAACAGGCCATGACATCCGTAGCTTGCTCATGATCAGGTAATGATCATTAACCATGCAGGGTCGGCCCGACCAACATACCCCCTCCCCAACTACTAGAAGCAGTTACTCAGTAGCAGCAGCAATAGCAATAGGAGGGCAGGGACAGGGGCGGGGCAGGGGGCGGCAGAGGAGCAGAGGCTCAGAACTGGGAGCTTCTTCCTCAGCTCCTTCTTCGGCTTCCTCGGCTCCTTCACCTTCCCCCCGCCCCCTCCTTCCTCTTCCTCAGCTCCGGCGTCGAAGCCGTCGTAGAGAAACTCTATCGTTTCTCTCCAGAGCTTCTGCGGCCGAATTCAACTTTCTTTTCTCCACTGCTGCCAGTACAGGCCGCATCGCGACTTGATTGATCAGGGCGAAGTTCCGTGTCAAGGGGAGAACCCCAAATTGTGTTTTTCCCAAAAGCCCCTCGGGGGTTGGGTTCTCCTGTAGATTTTGCAACCGCATGGGCCGCGATACGGGGTGCAGCAAGCGTTTGGAGTCTTCGGCGTCCAACCCGGGGTGCGATGCGGGGCGGGATCGGTAGGGTTCCAGCGGGCGGGTCGCGATACGGGGTGCGGCG